TATTTTTTTTAATACAATTAAAATTATTTGGAAAATTGAATGACTAAACCAAAAAATCCTTGTTCAATTTGATTTGTTTTTAATACCCTTCCAACCTAGGATTAAAGACACTATGCTTCATGTGTTATCCTTGTCATCCTTGTAAGGTTGCCGTGGCTGGTGATTGCAAAATGGAATGTATACAACTTGCTGCGACAACTACTGTTGTATTTTGTTGAATGCTCTCTCGGTTTAAAATACCCCACAGCTGCTCCATTTTTTAAACACCTTACTGCAGACCAAGACAGACCCAAATGCACAAACCCACACACTTGCAATTGAAACACATATATTAAAGGAGGATAATATCTTTGCTTAAATATGAGGGTTATCGGTTATAATATGTGCAAATCACAACAAGGTGAATTTGGTTACCTCATTTATTATTTAAGTTGTTGGGTGGTTGTTGGTATTGTAGTATGCTTTTTTAGGCTTTTGCTGACAATAGTCCTAATCTTTTGTGTCTATGTAGGTTGCTTCAGAAAAAGGATTTTTCTCTATTGTCATTAATCTTCAAGTGAGTTACTTTATTCATGTGACTGAGTCAACTTTAAACTTCAAAGATTTTGAGTTTGAACTAAATGAATATGCTGTTTGGTTGTAGGTGCCTGCATCAACACACTATAGTATGGTATTTTATTTTGTGACAAAGGAGTTAGTTTCTGGATCCCTCTTGCATCGCTTTGTTGACGGCGATGATGAGTTTCGAAACAGCAGGTTTAAGCTCATACCATCAGTCCCAAAGGTATTTGCTGAAGTTTGTCATCATCATAATTAGGCAACTTTCTCTGCCTTTGCTAGTTAATTTTATAATCTGTGGTTGTATCATTCTTAGGTATTTAAGTCTTAATATGGGCATGTTAATAGCACTCTGTCATCCTTTGTTTATAGTGAGCGTGGTGTCTGTATATGTGCTTTGCCATTTGTTTCTTGCATTCACTATTTTTTTATATTCCCCGTCTGATTAATTTTGAGGAGGATGCTTTTATGTCACGTTTTTTTTCCAGTAGCATTTATCTTCTGCTTTTCTACAGATTTGGTGTCATAGTCTAGTAAATTACAAGAGAAAGTAAACTGTTTCCTTCCATTTCTACTGCAATCGAAATTATAGATGCTCCATACTGTATGTTACAAGCAAGTTTGTTAATCATGTGAACTTATATTTTGGGAGCACACTTGGGTGTGTGTGTGTGGGGGGGGGGGGGGGGGG